ACAAAACATATCCTGCCCCCCACCCCCAAAAAAAAAAATGCAACAAACAAGCAGTCTGTAGAGAAGTGAACACAGACCAAATGCCAGGGTAAGATGCTTGCCAAGTATTTCATCAAACAGCCAAGCTGCAGTACAGAGTATACAGAGCTATATGCTGAAACTAGCCTCTGGCTAGTGGGCCAAAGATCTGAAAGATTTCAACTAAGGGCCTCTTCAGAACCAAGTTGATCCACGGACTAAGCTGCAGATCAAATATGGTGTACACTTGACAATGGATTTCCTGTTTCCCACACGTGCTGTCCCTGCAGGGGCAGAGCAATTAAATCTCAGCATGCGCTCAAGTTTGTCCTGCTATATCTGATCTGCAGCTTAGTCCGCGGATCAACTTGGTTGTGAACAGGCCCTAACAGTTTAAATATTAGTAAACTGTCTGAGGATTTCCCTAAACTGGATAACTGTGTGCATGTACAGATTGATGGTATATTCAATTAAAGGAAGAGATGTGTTCAATAATTCTATAAATTTGGCAGCCTAGCTTAGTTCCCTTTTCAACCTCAATGATTTCTAGTGATATCAGTGATATGATATCAACTTAGAAAATTCAACATTTCCATACTTAGTCTAGCAAATTTGTAATATCTAATATTGTATTCAAAACTTGTGAGAGGTTTGCTTAATGCACTTACACATATTAAAACCATACGTACATATTACAAAACAGACTTTTCTTGATACTCTAACACTATGCAAGTTTTCATCTGCGAGTGTATACACAGATATTTAAACTATGTGTACACTGCCAAGAATGGATTTCTTTAATCTTTGCAGAAGCATATGGGGCAAACTTGGTGGTCTGTGTATGGCAATATTTATACAAGAAGGTCGACAGCTGCCTGTACTGCATGAACCAAGTCTGGTGATACAAAACCCCTTACAATCACTCCCAACTTTCCTGTTTGTGAAAATAATTGTGGCCTTTATGGGTGTAAGGGTTGAAAGTTATCTTTAAATGTATGGACAATACAGAGGGTGTAATTAAGCAGTGTGATTAGTTCTGCCAAATCAATCAACACAAAGAGAAACGTGATCTCTATGCACCATTTCCACTAGTATTCAATTTAATATTTCACTCTTATTTCATAGTTAACAAATATCTATCAGAGCACTCTAACGATTGAAATTTTGAGCTTTTCTCTATTTCTATGAATTTATGTATATAAAAGTTCATATCACATTTGAGAACTCAGGAAGGTGGACCTTGAAATAAGTTATCAGTGAGAAAGTCATGTTTCTTGAGCAACTTTCTAAGTTCCTGACATTTGATATTTTAATACAAAGGTTACAATATGCTAATATAATTAATATTTAACCTGAAATTTGACAAAACAGATCACATGCAGTAAATAACATAGCATAAGTTTATTTCATGTGCATACATACGAGAATTTGAGTGAAGGCATATAATTTATAACAAAACTTTACATAACCATTACTCCAAACTTTGATCAGTAGGTTAGAGTCAAGTTACAGATAATTTAAACCTGAATATATTCCTAATTTCCATATGAGAGGGAAAAAAATTAAGCACCTTGCTGGGCTCAGTAATTTAATAACTCATTCATTCATTTGCACCCTCACCTGTCCCAGGTCGATGGTAAGGTTGACTCCATTGTAATCAAGTCCACGAGAGAGAGGAGGGCTTTGCCACCATCTTTCTGTGCCGTCTATCGCCTGCTCCGGGGGATGGGCATGCTCTGGGTCGTTCGGGTTACAGAAGTCGCACAGCTGCCCTTGCTTTATGATCGGGACCTCGCCAGAATCTGTGTAACGATGTTCCGAAACTCCGCCGGTCGCACCGGTAAGTTTACAGAACAATTCCGGCTCTGAAACGTCTTCGCCACAAGTTGCAGTTGCAACTATCTTTCTTCCTTCAGCAAGATTAAAATAAGGCGGCGTTAAAACTTGACAAGATACTTTTTCCAGCGAGATAAGTAAAATTAAAAGAAGAGAAACTCCGAGTTGGAGTTCCCGTACCGCCATCTTTCTCGCTTCTGATGGCTGCAAGTGCTCGGAACAGCGAGTTTAAGTTGCGTTGAGAAGGAGGGGTGACAGGTTTGCGGTCAAACATTTCCGGGCTCGTATGATCACAACAACAAGCGTTTTTTCAGCAAGATGTGTCCCTCTTCTTGTCTCACTGAAAACGCTCTCTGTTGCTGTACCGTAGCTTCTTGTCGGGATTTAAAAGAATCAAAAGCACTCGCTGTTTTTTACAACATCAATATAAATATAATCTCTTTTATAGCTCTTCCTCCCTCCGATAAATAGTTGACTAACCTCGTCAAAAGTGTCTAATTCGACAAGTAAACTTCATTTCCCCTTGCCTGATGTTGTGAGGTTTACCTTTTTTTCAATTGAACGACGTTTTTTATTGTGTCTATTCTGAAAATTCCAAGATCCAATATAGGGCCCAGTTATAATCCACGAGCCCTTTATTAGGACAGGGAATTATATCGGATATAATTCCCTGATTAGGGCCACTTAGTCTTCTTATTGAAAGTGAAGATGAACTAGTTATCAAGTCGTAATTGTTAGAGTTTAAACGCAAACGCAGTATTTCTGTCATATCATCATTATGCATAACCAGGGACTTGTACTGAAGTTCTTGGCATAATCAACTACATAACTCGATCGATTTTCCTATGATGTAAAAAATAGCCGATTATCTATACCTATATATATAGATAAATACCTAAAAAGTAGGACCAACTAAAAACTTATTTATTGGGTCCCATCTAAAACAACCGCATAAATCATCGCTTCATGTTTTAATTGGCGCACAGGAGATTAGTCGACATACCCACGCGTCAGATGATATAATGGTAATGAAATTAGAATAAACGCTATATTAGCGATTCATGATATGTCTGAAGCCAGATCTAGAGCGAGATAAACCAAGGAGTTACAACAGAAGGAGATTACTGTTATAACTCCTTGGATAAACCGATTTCAAGATTGTGCAAGCTAATATAAGGATATTTTCTTTTCATTTGACCAGACGACAGAAATAGAAATTGCGCTAGAAATAACTGTACACCAAATATATTTCTATACTTTTTAACCAACATTAACCTATGCATGTAGGTTACAATCGACAATTTGTAAGTAATAAAATTATTTTTTAGATCAATGAAAGACTGGACAAGACAACACAAAAATAAACTTTTTTCACAAAGTTTATTAACTTTAAGAAAAAATAAAAGCTTTTTCTGCCAAATATTATGTAAGTTATAAGAACAAGTAAAAATGCAATGGCATATGAAATTTTTACAACCTCCAAGAGTGAGGAATCTTCTGCGCATTTGCACTATCACACTTGCTAAAAATCCACTTTTTACGGCAGTTAAAAATCTCATTCAATGACATCCTAAAATGCGTCAAAAAGTTTACTTTAAAAGCTTTAAGAACAAATGATTTTAAAATATAAGTATCCATCTTCTTTATTTTGTCTAAAAACATTAAAGCCAAATTTAATCAAACACAAGATCCTTCACATAAAATCTTAAACTGATCTTTAAGAGACAAAACAAGCAACAACAACTAAATTCTGTATGTTGTCTGAAATGATAAAATTCACTTTCATAATTTCCATTGTAAGTACCCTTAACCAGAACAATAAGACAAGTATGTGTTGAGCAAACTGAAGAAGTGCTATGCATCTTCTAGAACAAATTTTACCAAAGCATGCCATAATAAGTTTCCATAGAACAACAGACACCTTCTAGTAGCATCACATCTAGTCTGTAATGCACATATTTTTTCTATAACTATTAAACTGTTGAAATAATATGGTAACATTTGACAAAAAATTTCTTCAAGCGCATCACTTAGCAGAAAATGGCTACACTGCACACACACCCACATGTTACTGATAAATGTTTTCATAACATCTGAATATACATTTTAAATCCAATTTTAATTAGTGCTATAACTTCAAATTATTACATTGTTTTTTTTATTAATTTTTGTAATAATTTTTTATAATGAAAATATTCATTATTATACAATACAAATGTAAGTACTCTATTTACTACTTATTAGGGATCAACTACTGGGACTCTGTCTTACTGCAGTAATACAACAATGTTTTTAATTTTGGCTATATATCAGTACGACTGATTACACATGAATAATAAAAATAAAAAAGTAACATTGCCAAATACATTCTTATGCATTGGTTAACAAGTGCACACTCAAAATATTCAGATTTCAACTCTGTATCAATGTAATATTAGCAACATACTTTTAACATTGTAAAAATTCAGCCTATTGCTTTTATATTTTACAAATCATTAAGACTTTCCATAGCTATACATGCTATCTGACAATAAACTGACTTAAAAACTAAATAAGCTCTTCAAAATAGTGGCTTTCAGTGGCTAGTGTCCAATATCCAATCATGGTTTTACAAAATGTTCAACTAAATATATGATTACATATGTACATATTGTCTTACATGGGAGTTACTGGAAAAGTCTCACATCAGCAGTTCCTCTCAGCTGGGGAATGTAATACAGAGGTAATGGAAATTAACAAAAAATATGATTTCTCAATCCTGATGAAGAATGATATATCATCTTTCTTATAAATGTTTACTAAGAAATCACAAAATTTGCTATAAAACATTAAAAAAATACCTCAAAACCTTAAGGCAAATGCTACTCAATATCCAAACTCAAATTCTACAGTATACAACGTTTATATTCCAAAAACACCAACATCTTTGTCAAAATGAAATGTTCAAAATAGAAATTGATAAGAAAATTATTGAGATCTCAACTTCAAAACATTTTCAGTCAACAACTCGAAAGAAATTCTCCAGTGTACATTTTTTAATATTATATCAACATGTACACTTAGTAACCAAAATATTGATTTAAGGATAAAAAGTACAAAAAAAATGAGTTAATATTTGAAAAGATCTCAGCTAAAATATATGCCTTTAAAGTAAAAGAAAACAGTCTCCAAATCATTGCTAGAAAAGATGATCAAAGATTATCTTGCTAAGACCACTTTATCCTTATTTTGGAAGAACTACTAAAAATAGCTTTGCGCTCTATATGATACACAACTTTATCTCCAGTGTTCCACTCTAAAATCTCAAGTGGTTACAAAAGATAAAAAAACAATGGCCATTATATAAAATCCTCATAATCATCTCTCTGCACCATTGAACACAATTCACTATAAGCATGCACACTAGTTTTGTACGCCATATGGTGTACAAAACTAGTTTGCAAAGATCATACTGGTGCTTGCAATCATAGCCCTCCAGCATTAGAAGCCAACTCCTGGAATGCAGTGTATAAAATCACGACTATCATGTTGATTATTCATGAAACACTCTGATGGATTTGCCTCAGGCTTGCACATATTGGCTAAGTACCCCATAATCTGTCTATATCCAGCCAATATTTTTCATTGTGTAACCCAAATAATCTTCAAACTTTGAAGTCTCAAGTCCATTTACAAATGTATCATACTTAACCCAAGGGTTGTATTTTATGTTGCATGCTAGTACTCCTCCCCATGTAAAACATTCTAATGCATTTATCATTGTCTACTAGACTCATCTTTGCCTACATAGTCATAATCTCAATTATTATAAGACTATTACCACCTAAATGGTAAAACAGGCACGACAAAGCAAAGAATAATAAACCTAGAACCATTACCAATTACTAATGGCTTCTGTCATATTCTCAACAACAAAGGCTCAATACATGCCTTTTTTGGAGGGACTCCTCAAGTCTGATTGTCTTCTTGGTTGATCACATCCTTTGGAGATGACAGAGGTGATCCATAACCACTATCTCTTTTCATTAAATCCCCACGCTTGTTTGCATCTTGTTGATGCGATAATGTAGCAGTATCAGTGGTGTTTGGCATTGTCACATAACCTTGGTCATTTACAGGTGCCATCTTAAAGTGAGATGGTGAAGATTTATTGGACCAGTTCTTATTATGAGTCAAGTCTGAACCAGTGCTTTTATAATTGTCTTTCAAGGTGCCATCACATGCACCCTTGTCCCGATGTTGGCTATTTTCTGCTCCACCCACGTGGGTATATCTACCTATAGCATCATTATTATTTTCTTCTTTAAGTGACACCATCACTGGATCTGAAACATGTCCTGTGTTAGCATTTGGGACTTTTTGGGACTTCAGCTTTGATGGTGGAACCATATTCTTGACAGCAGCATCTGTAGTGGTACTGACTGATGGTACCACTGGTGGTGCTGTAACATACCCAGTATTAGCTGCAGATGTGGTACTGGGTACAGAAGACATTGTTGGTGGTACCGTCACATACCCATTTGTGGTTGTGCTGAAAACTGGTGATACTTCTGTTGTTGGTATTGGTGTTACATTCCTGTGATTGGTCGCAGCACTAGCCAGTTGTACCTCTGGTGCTGTGACATACCCATTGTTACAGGTTGCCGGTGGTAATACTGTTGGTGCAGTAGTGACATAGCCATTACTATTTAAAGCTGGTGAAGTTATCTGTGGAAGTGCTCTCTCTCTGGTGGAGTTGACAGTGTTATTTACTGGGGGTGGTGCTGTCACGTACCCATTTACTGTAGAAGTATCAGGAAGTGGTTTTCTCAGTTGCCCATTACATGTTGCCTTACTGGCTGATTGTACTAAAATTGGTGGTGCTGTCACATACCCAGTATTGGTATTCACACATGTGGATACAATTACAGGGGGTGCCGTCATGTACCCATTACCAGCTGGTGTGTTATCTGATGCAACAGATGTTCTAGGTGCTGTCCCACTGTTGGTTGCAGCTTGATGTGTCACTGGAGGAGGAGAAGTCACATACCCATTATTAGTTATGTTGGAAACTGTTGGTACCTTAGATGGAGCCCCCTCAAATCTATCAGCAGCAATGGTGTTGGATGATGGTGCTGGAGCTGGGTCTGTAACATACCCAGTATTAGCTGTAGATACAACTGATGGTACCACTGGAGGTGCTGCTGTCACATAGCCATTGTAAGTTGCAGCTGTGTTGGAAGATGGTGGCACTGGTGGAGGTACTATCACATACCCGCCGTTGGTTGGGTATTGAAGTGGAACACCTGCTTTTATTTGTGAGGCAACAGGTGCCAGCACATTATTTCCAGAAACAACTTGGTCTGATTTCCTTTTTGGAGACGCTTTGACCACTGGAGCTGAGGCTGAGACAGCTGGGGACTTTGTACCAATGGGACCTTGCTTATCGTTATCTAATGGAATGATGTTTGGATTAGCTACATACCCTGTATCGTGCTCTTGGGCAGCTATGAATTTTGGAATCTCAGTCACATATTCACTATTTTCTATAGAAACCCGTGGGTCTTCAGATGAATCAAGCTTTTGTACATCAGGTGAAATAAATGAATCTTCATTATCTGTGTGTACATAATTTTCTGATGATCCAGGACCCTGCACGTAAGAACTAAAAACTTCGTCATCCTCATCAGTATTATCAAGAACTGCATATGTCCCAAAATTCTTACCACTGTCTACTCCTTCAGGAATAGGCTTTGACAGTTTGACAGTTACTCCTTGTTCCAGTTTTTCTGTCATGCTTGAACCATCACCTTCATCATATTCTTCATCTGGTGCATTGCTGACCTCAACATACTTTCCACCAGCACTGAATTTGTCCCCAACAGATAGTGGAGAGGTATCAGCATTTTCCAATGAATTTTTCTCTGGCACCTCAATACCATATGCCTTATTCACAGCAATAAGGGAGGACTTGGAAGTAGATTTGTCTTGATTTTGGGGCACTTGCACCGTATCCATCTTACCTGCCTCTGATGAAGGCAGTGGCTCTAAGTATTCATCCCCAACAGGGTTACTAGAGTTCTCAACTGGTGGGGGAGACACACCTCCATTCAAATTGTTGTTATTGACATTCTGAGAGGCAGCAACCTGCACATAGGACCCCACAGAACTATCTGCAGGATCAGTTGGTGGTGACAAACAGATGCCATTGGCAGCAGTTTTCACATATGAACCTATCTCATTGTAGCTATGATCCATCAAGTCTTTCTTAGACATGGAATGACTGTCATCTGGTGATTGCTTCTGAGCAGTTTTTACATATGAAGATATACTTGTATCCAATGTTTCTGGCTGTGATAAAGAATCCTGTAGCAGAGGTGGAGGTTTATTTGCTGGTGTTCCTTGTCTTTGGACACACATAACAGTCATATTATCTGGTTTTGCTATGCTTGACTCATCACATATGGGGTAACCGGCTTGCACATAGTTTGTACCTAAAGATAAAATAAATATATATAACACATCGGTACATATATATCATAGTGGTATAAATGCACACTCCTTATGCACAACTACAGAGAACTATATCTTGGTAAATTGACTACTAGCCTTAATCTTTACTAAATGTGCTAAAATTTGTTTGTATTTAGACCTTCACTGCTCATTATTTTGCCTCACAAAACAATACTTTTTATTTCTTTCCTGATAACTATTTCTTATAAGACATTAAGAAAACTGACCAGGAACTGTCTCCAAGACTATTTGCTTGCCATGATTCATTCCAAATTGACTGTATTCAGGAGCACTTGGTGTACTATCACTGGTTTCCGACTCCTCTGGTAAAGGAGTAAGGCTCCTATAGAAATGAAATGGTTTTTAATGGTTGTTAAGGTGCTGATAAGAAATGACTGAGCAACCATTTCTGTAACAGTTCAAACTATCAGAATATTACAATGATATAACATGTGTAGACTAATTTATGGGCATCATTGAGTGCATGCTTCTTTATTTCACACAATGTCAGCAGAACAGCTAATTTCATACATTAAAAGCAAAGCATTTTCAATCTTTACTGAAAGTACCTTGTAGGAATCCCCTGCACATAAGGTTTTGGACTCTGTGGCTCTTCTTCACATCCTTGATCCCCATTACTTCTGTAGAACTCTGACGTAATGCTTTCATTCCCACTGTCATGGCTGTCCTGTGTGGACAATGTCCTCACTACAGTACCATTGATCACAAGATGGTCCTGGAAATATGTAATTGTTTTAAGTAAAAAATTTATGACATATTAACTTTTTCTACAATACATACTAAAATGTTGTACCATTTTTTCATAATATTTACAAAATGGTAAATCTTGTATAATAATATTTCTTGGCATTTTTTTCGTTCTAGTGACATTTACATTGCAAGGGAATATTGGCAGTTTATTACGTACATCAATACTTATAATTTCAGACTTTACAAAAGGCCCAGGACCATCAGACAATCCTGACAAATTTCGCCTCAGTCCGATAAAAATTCTGTACTGTTGGTCCTTATGTTTTCAAGTTTTTTGAACAAGAAAGGAGAAAAAGCTCTATTTTCATCGGTAAATTGTGAAAAAAAAAGCCACTCAGTAAATTTAAAGTAAATCAAAAAACCATTTGGCAGTTATGGGGCGAATGCCATGTGTCGGACAACGACAGAAACAGCAATGGGGACGACATGGACAGACAGACTGATCAGAATATATACAGACACTGTAAAAAAAAAAATCAAATTTGCATTTTTTTTTATAAATTTGATTCAGTCTGTCAGATTTTGCTTCAGCCTGACAGAATTTTCAAGCTTGTTAGATCAAATTTCTCACAGTTTTTTGGCCTTTCGTAAAGTCTGTCATTTGGTAAAGGATATAGATATAATCAAGCTACATAACATTAAATAACATATACCCTACATGCACTAAGAATTAACATGCTACATGCAGTAACAAATACAACACATCATTCTTTATTCCCTGATTGGATATGCAAAAATACAAAACTAAAACATAGCACATGCAAAACCAAGACAACATGCAAATATCCAAAGCAAATCAGGAAAGTTAATATAAAATCAAAATCAAAATCAAACATGGAATGGAAGATTTGTGAAAATAGAGTTGTTATTGGGTAAATGTTATTGGTAAATGGGATGAGATGGTACAGTATGTGCCAATACACTTCAAATCCATACAATTCCAGAACATTTCATACTGAATATTTCATACTGAAATCTCTCTCCATTAATTATTTAGCATTTTTTTTTCAAAACAGGAATACTACTGACATCCACTCAGATAATTTTCCTCATGTCACAAAGTCTTTTAAGTTTTATTATATAAAATAATACAAATCTTTACACACTGCTCATATTCCCANAGCACCGATAACACGATAAGTGGAAAACCATTTTACCTTTTGCCTTGAAACTTACAGAACTGCTGAATATTCATAATACGCAGGTCAAGTTCGAAAATCAGCATGATTGGGTCATTTTTAGGGAAGTTATGCTGTTTTTCACTTTTTTCAGCATATATGCAACACTGATAACATAAGTGAACAAGGCAGCAAAGCTGTCAAATGTACAGACAAAAAACAGAAAATAAAGATGCAAAAAAGGTAATTTTCTCAATTTTGATGCAATGATAAATAATGCTTATAATAGCACTGTCAGTCACCACTGAATTTTAATCATGCACAACAGGTAACATGTCAATAACAGGAGCGAACCCAGAGATATTTTCTTACAGTATTCGAAAGTATCTTTTTTTGATCAATCCTCCATTTTGATGGTCTTCCAACAGAAAAAAATAGATACCAGTCAATATAAACTTAATAACCTGACTGTCTTCTGGAAGACCCAGAAGATGGTCTCAATCCACCCCTTCAATAAGATTACAGTTTCAGGACCATGAAAGTTCAAATTCACATGATGAAAGTCTCAATATTTGAATAAATATGTAAAAAATAGGTCATTTTGTCAATTTTGATGCAAAAATAAATAATACTGTCAATCAACACTGAATTTTAATCATGAACAACAGATAACATGGTCAAAAACAGTAGTGAACAGGAGAGATATTTTCTGACAGTATTCCAAATTATCTTTGTTGATCCACCCTCCATTTTTGATGGTATTCCAACAGAAATAATAGATACCCATCAATGTAAACATTAAAATCTGACCATCTCCCAGAAGGCCCAGATAGACAGTCTCATTCAGCCCCTGCAATAAGATTACAGTTTCAAGACCACAAGAGTTCAAATTCACATAATGGAAATCCCAATATGTGAAAAATGATAACAGTGCATAAAATAATATTACATAATGTTTAAAGACATAAAAACCAACACAACTGCTAATGTGGAAAAACAGAAAATGCACAGCACTTCTGGTGGATGGGAGTTGAAAGTGACATCTTGAAGATGCTAGTGTTTGAAAAATAATTAAAAGAAAAAATAAAACAATAAAACATAACAAAAAATTCCAATAAAGCTGCTATTCAAACTTTTAATCTAGCTGTATAATTACTAACATGATATGAATAACCCTATTGAGTTTGAGAATAGTAATGAACTGTTATTCATCTTTAGCATTAACGTAAGCGTTACACAAAATTTTTCTTTTGTAAAATTATTTTCAATATTAAATAACATTTACCTGCATAATAATCATCGATTCCTAATTATGTGACACAGTTAAGAGAGCTAAACCTATGGGACTTTACAATGAAATCTCAACGTGTGTTTTATGTAATCTCATTTAATGGCCACTTGAAAATTAATTAAGCAAATTACTTTACAACCCTGAAATAACTTGAAAATTAATTAAGCAAATTACTTTATAACCCTGAATTAACATACTGCCTGCTATCCATATACATTTATTGCACCATATAGCACTCTATAGAACTGCATTGGTTCCAAAACAGAAAACAATTACACTGGTTTTCCAACACAAGCTGCACTTCAGTCTTATGAAACTTTTCAGTAAGTTTGAGTATCATAAGTAACATGGTTTTCCCTTAATCGCTATCCTGGCAGCAGTGTCCAAAGTAGGGTTTTTCTTCAACTTTCATGCAATATAACAAAATACTTAACAGCACAATGTCCATCAATTAAAAAAAAAAAGTATCATGGATATTCAGAAAATGTGATATGGAAAGGTCTCCAAGGCCATGGAAGTTCAGAGTCACACTTTCAAAATGCCAAAATGTAAACAAGAGATAACTGAAATGATTTTCTTTCCATTTTCAACACCTTTTTTTACATAAAACAAAATAATCAATTTACTGTCATTTTTAAATGATCAACTAGGAAAATTGCTGACAAAGGAAAAATATCAGTAGAACAATTTTAAATGTCACAATTTGCTCCATTTGGAGATTCTGAACATAGTGAATGATTGAATCTGACGAACTGCAATGATGAGTTCCTTTCCATTTTTGATACTTTATTACACAATGCACGATAATAGGTTTACCATCATTTTTATATAATCAACTAACAATATTGTTAAGCAGCAGAAAATGTCAAAACAACACTTTTACATATCTAATTAGTTCCATATTGAGACTGTTAACATGCCTAAGAATTAAATCTGAAGAAAACCACTTATATACACTTTATTTGCAAGATCAAATATCTTCTTTAATGAAGTATATTTCATGTTTTCTTTGCAGTTTATTGGTAAAGGACAATTGTTTATTTTTAAAGGTAAAGCTAAGACCATATCTTTTTTCAATATGGCTTCTTTATCCAAGATGGCTGCCATTATTTTAACAATTTTCGCAACTGAGGCACATGTTATATAATCTAGAATTATTTCAACCATGGTAAAATGCAATATTTCAAGAAATATAAATTCTCTTAAATATTTCCTACAATTTCATATCTGTAAAGAATATGATTAGGCCTTTTTCATTAGAGAAAAATCCAATGTGGCTGCCTTATACCCCTTACCATTACAAATCAAGGGTACCATGTGTACTTTACTGATAGTTGCAATCTCTTATTTAATGAAGTATATTTTCGGGTGGCAGTGATATAGATTTTAGAGATGACATCCAAAACTTGTCATTTCAAGATGGCATGTAATAAACTTTTTTTTATATATATGGAGTGAATGTCATAAACTTTTAAAATTTAGGATGCTTAATTTAAGTGTGGGCTTGAAATAGGACATTACGATTTCGACCAACTTAGTGGATGATGCAATCTAAAGATTTCACGCTTCATGTCAGATTTACATAGGGTCGTACAAAGAAAACCCCAAGTCCACATAATGACCAGTTAAACGATTTATTCGTTGGCGTTTCTAAGTCTCCAACTCCTAACTTCTTGAAAATACATCTGCTCCATCTTTCCCAACCTCCTCTCCTTTCTATCCCAAAGGTATCAATTCTCATCGCTTATATACTAATTTCTTATTTTATGTGGATCTAAACATTAATTGCTTATAATTGTATACAGGCCCGTAGCCAGCAATTTCAGAGAGGGTGTTCGTTTTCTGAAAAAAAAATGGACCTTTTACCATAAAATCCTCAAGTACATAGGTCAAATTTTACCCAGAGTGGACCTTTTCCTAGCAAAAAGGGTGGTTCTTTCGAACCCCCCGAACTACCAGGCTACGGGCCTGGTATAGTTAAATTCTTCACATGAGCATAATACAAAGAGGCGGCCACAAAACTCAAGAGCTGTTGGACCACAAGAGGTTACATCATGTGACCTCATAAAATATCTTTTTTATCTTGATATCGGACACGACAGGCATGTATGTTACTATAATGTTGCCATGGAACATTACTTTTAACTTAACAATTAATATTAAGTTGGGCCTATTTAGATGATGTGGACCTTGAAAACTTGATTTCAGAGGTAAAACAGGATTACAAACAGATTTTTTAAATATAAAACACCTATCTAATGAAGGAATAATTGATTGAATTTTTTTCTTGTATGAATTTTTTGGCTCACAAATTAAAAAAAAATGTGGAATGTTCATCCATCATTCATGCCAAGTTCTCTCCAACTATAACATATTTCTACACCTCCGGATGCTGTCCTGACAGGTATCTTTTGGAATAAGGCTTGGAGAAGCTGATGGCCATACCAAACTAACCATGTTGTTAGCAGCTTTATAGTTCTCTTGGGGGGCATGCCTTTTTTGTCCATAAAAATGAGTTGCTATTAGATGTACAACCTGAATATGTAGGGACACTACATTGAACAATACCTTTTCCCTATATCTAGCACTGTTAAAGGGTCATAGAAAAACAACCAAGGACAATCTGTGGTCATGTGTGTCCATCTCTTAACATTATAAATCCTCCACCATCCTGCTGCCTTGTAAGGATACAATATGTTCTACAGGTTTCACCAGTTCAAATCAGCATAGTAGATACAGGGACAAGATCCACGTGTCCAAATAATACATCTCGAGAACCTTATGTTATGGTTCCTTCAGTACATTGCCCATGGGTGAAAAATCTTTTTGTGCTTGGTGATCAGATTTTCTTTTCCCAAAGGAGAGTGGAAACTAAAGGATCCGACGCGTCTCAGATTCCTCCTGAGGAAACATGGTGTTACAGTGGATTGGAGACTTGGAGCA